AGAGGAGGAGGAGGAGGAGGAGGACAATGACGATGACGAAGAGGAAAGAGGAAGCATGAATTTATCGGTCTGTCTCACAGAGTTGTGTCAGAAACTCGTATGGAGGAAGAGGCGGATCAATCGTCGATAGCTCTGCTGAGGCAGCAGGTGAAGGTGGCAGATCTCGAGAGGAGGCAAGAAGAGCTAGAAGTCATCAGGGTCGTGAAAGAGATCGAGTCGCTACACGAGGTCATGAGGCAGCGACTGGAGCAACACTTGCGCTACAAGGAGAAGTATGAGGAGGACAAAAGAAGGCAAGAACAACCATTGAACCTCCTCATCTCTCTTCTCTCTTCTCTCTTCTCTCTTCTTCATGTCCTGTCCTGTCCTGTCCTGTCCAACTCTCTCCTCTCCTCCTCTCCTTCTCCTCTCTTCCTCCTTTCCTCTCCTCTCATCCTTCTCGTGCTGTCGCAGATACCTTGACCTCGTTCATTCATGTGAGCAAGAAGCAGCGAAGCAGCCAAGACTCAAGGCATCTCGTTCAACTCCTTCCTCTCGCTCAACGTCTGGGCCCGTTCACACGAGGATGGTTGGCCAGGAGGAGGAGGAGGGAGGAGGAGGAGGAGGAGGTCGACGCGCTCGGACACCTCTGACAGGATCGCGCCATGACGAGGAGGACGAGCATGTTGCCATGCACGTATCGACCATGACGATGGAGGAGGGACGTCGGCGAGAGGAGGTTGGGAAGGGACTAGGTTTGCGAGCCTTGGCCCTGATTGTTCCATGGCAGTTGACCGAGGAGACTGCTGAATGGTTTCAGCCTTGTTCCTCTGAGCTTCTTACCCTCCTCCTTCTTCCCTGCCTCCTCCTCTCCTTCCTCTCCTCCCTTCAGCCTCCCCGCCTGTCTCTCTTGAACCCTCTCCCCCTTCCCTCAGATCTGCTGACGTCCCCGTCCTCTTCAGCTTGCCCGACGACGTGATGCTGTACATGCTCACCTTCCTGCATGACGCCGGGCTGCGAGGAGAAGGTGCTTGTGCTTACCTGCAGCCATGGGAGGAGCTGACCGGTCATGGCAGACTTAATCGAGCAATCCATCAGGGTAGGAGCGACGACATCTCCGTCCTCGATCTCTCTCTGTCTCTCTTCCCTCCCTCCCTCCCTCCCTCCCGCCCTCCCTTTGCCTCTCTCCCTCTCTCCTCTCCTCCTTGCTGACGTGGTTGACAACAGCAACTTCCCATTCCTCCGGAGTCAGAGCATCTCGTGAGGAGGAGAATGGCGCAGCTGATTATGAGGCTGTAAAGGAGACGAGGGAGCAAGGATCAACCATTACCTTCACCCATCCACGTTGCATTTTTAGGAAGCATCAAACACAGATGTCTGAACTGAGAAGAATCATGATGAAAATCAACTATTACCTTCACCCATCCACGTTGCATTTTTAGGAAGCATCAAACACAGATGTCTGAACTGAGAAGAATCATGATGAAACAATCCCATTCTCAAAAATTTTCAACTCTGTCAATTTCAATTCTGTCAAGGAAAATGTCTATTCTGACAATAAAGAACTTTAATCTGATAAGAAAGAAGAAATCCCCCTATGTTACAATCTGCTCGTTCCCTTTGAGCTGAACAGGAGAGCCACGGCCGTTCTCCTGCCCCCTCTGGCTCGGATTGCTGTTGTCGTTGTACATCGCCGTCGGAGCCGCGCTCGAGCTCATCCCGTTGCCGTGCATGGCCGACGATCCGGACGGGAGCATGGAGAAGAAGATTTGGTTCATCAGGTGCGAGTCCTCGCGTTCGAACGACATGTCGTCATTCCCCTGGTTCATACCCCACAGCGAAGGATAGCTGTAGCTCGGACCCGTCAGGTTGCTCGCGCTCAACGACGCGCCGATGCGGGCAGGAGCCGGCTCGCCTTGACCGCCAGGGGGGGGAGCGTTGTCTGGCGCCTGCTGATGGGGGAAGGTACCGAAGAAGCTCGCGAGTCCGATGGAGTTCTCCCTCGAGAGCGACTCACCGTTGCCCAGCATGTTCCCTGCGCTCTCACCAGGCAAGAACGAGGTCATGGGCTTGTTGGCTGCCTCCTGCTCCGTCCCACCACTCGCCGAGTTCTTCGTCAGGATGGCTGCGATCCCTGCCAGCGACTCCACGAAGTTTGCCTGCGGCTGACCTCCCTCCTTTGACCCGCTGCCGTTGGGCTGCGAGCCAGGTAGCATAGCAGGCCGGCCGCTCTGGTTGTCAGGGGGCTGAGACGACAAGTCAGGCATCTGATGCAAGAAGTTGCCTCCCGTGCTGCCCATGAAGCCAGAGCTGACGGAAATGGAGTTCTCGCGCGAGATGGGCAGCGACTGCAGGTAAGTTGAGGTGAGCCCGATCGAGTTTTCTCGGGACATGCAGTTGTACTGCTGCGGAGGCAGGAGCGGTTGCTGGCTCACCCCCGGTGGCTTCTGCTGCCCCTGCGCCAGCTGACTGCCTTGTGGGCCGCGCAAGGACTTGAGCAGCACGTGCATGTGCTGCAGCTGCCCTTGACCTCCACCCTGCTCCACCTCGTCGTCCTTTGGGTTGGCGACCTCGGACAGCGCTACCGCAGGAGGCACGAAGTCTTTCCCTACCGCCTTCATCTGCTTCGCAGCCTGGTCGTCCACGTACCCTTCAGCCTTGCGCTTGAGGCTGCCGCTGGGCTGAGAGCTTGGAACCATGGCGGGCTGAGAGTCACGATAGCGCGCAAGCTCTTCCTCCAGAGCCTTGATCTTCTGCATCATGACAGCTGAATCTTTGGCAGGTTCGACGGCAGGGACCGGACGCTCCGCAGGTAACCTCGGGGCTTCCTCGTGGGGCTTCTCCGCATTTCTCTCCACAGGCGTCTTCCTATCATCTTCCTCCTCCTCCAACTTCAAGCCATCCTGTTGCCACGAGTCATTCCACTTAGTCTCTAGCATGCGCTGGGCGTGGACAAACAAAGTGAAGTCACAAATTCATGAAGCCTCACCTTGGCGAACCTTGCATACTCGGAGTTGTCGTACACATGGAGCGGCATGTGGGTCAAGCATTCTCGGAGCATGGACTCTAGGTCTTTGCTACAGTACGCCATTAATCTCCCCTCCTTGCAGTGGATCGTTGGGCAGCTCTTGAGGATGACCGCACAGTCACAGTCGCACAAGACGCTGAGTTCGATTGCTTTCTTCACCAGCCCCATCTTGCGCTTATGAAACGTGTTCTGCCGCATGCGATCTCCCTTGATGCGCTCGATCTTCACCTTTGCAGGAGGCATTTTCCTGCACCCTTTGACTGAAGTAAGCAAGCCCTAGTCGAGGGTATCAGGAGTGAGGGAACGACTGAAGGAAGGGAGGATGAGGGAGTCCAAACGGAAGCGAAGGAAGCTGCGGGAGGGAGGGAGGAGGAGAGGGATGAGCGGGAGGAGGAGGAAGCAGGAGAGGGAGGGGCGAAGGCAACGGGGGGAGCAATGGGGATGCAACACGACGTAAAGGTGTGTATAAACCCAGGGTGGGGTGGTTCAATTTGGGGGGGTAGGGGTAATAAAATGGTCAGAAGGGGTGGGTAATATTTCCAACAAAATTGAGCTTGGTGGGGAGGCCTTTTCCATGGGGGTAGTAGCTGAAAGGGGGGTAGGGATATCCTCTGCATGAGGGGGACACTCTACCCCCCTTCGAGCCTCTTCTAAACGATATGACAGGAGGGGTACTCATTGCAATGGCCTTAAAAGCGGACTGGCACTGATTTTTTTTGGAGGGGTGGGGTACTGCTGGCACTCAATTTAGAAGCAATGCATCCATTTATAGTATCAAGTATCCGTGAATATCCGCGAGTATCCGGTGAGCCTGAGTACCATACCGGCCGGGCGTCACCGTCTCGAGTCCGGTGCCCGGCCCGCCAGTGGCACTGGCGCTAGTGCACAGAGAGATCCGATCGCCGGACCGTCGGGGGTGCCACTGGTGACCGACCTCGGCCCGGACTCGCGCCCGAGTCGCCGGCTCGGACTCCGGGCCCGGGGGGGGGCCGGGCCTCAGCCCGCCGCCGGTGATTTAAGCCGCAGCCTGTGCGGGAACCGTGTGTGGCTTCGAGAAACATTTACAAAGAATAGACTCGGAAAGACTTGAAGACCATTGAAGTGCATTGCGGCCGCAGTGGCGGCCGCGGCCGGAACTCGGAGAGGAAGCTCGGGGCCCTGCGGCCGACGCCGGTCACGGCTCCGGGTGCGGCAAGGCTGACTGCTGCCGGGTTGCACCGTGACTGCACGGTCCGTCCCGCTCGCCTATCCGATCACTTCGCGTGCAAAGAAGCGCCGAACTGAACAGAATGACTGAATGAGTCGTGAAGAGGAGGAGAAGAAGAGAGGAGGAGCGGCACAACAGAAAGAGCACATGGCGAGCGAGCATGTCAAGCTGAGTACCTGGACGGGAATCCAATGGTTGACTGCAAGGTATACAATGACGGCAGCGACAATCAAACTCAACATGAGGATAACGTTGCCCATGCTAGCTGTTTCAACAAAGTCACTTCTCCCCTCTCAAGGCCCCCCTTTAGACTTCCTCCTCCTATATACCCCTCTGCTGCTCTCCACGTCGTTCCTCTCCTTCCTGCCCTACTGCTCTCCACGTCGTTCCTCTCCTTCCTGCGCTACTGCTTCCCTCGTACTGTTCTCCTCCTCTGGAACTTGTGTTCTTCTCTCCCAATCTTGCAATCCGATGATCGTCGGTGTCAACTCACAGGGACTCATGTTCTTCGTCCTCGCGCCGACAGGCAAAGGGAGAGCATCTGCCCCTCCCCTTCCTGCTCCATCAGTCACTCAACCGGACGAGCCCGGGAGCTCTCAACACTCACCAAAGTAAATCGAGAAGGAACTCCAGATGTCTCCTCCCCTTGTTCTGCTAACAGCATCAGCCACCTCCTCCTCAGCACCGCCTTAGCCGTCTTCACCTCGCGGAATACTTGTCGTTGTCGTAGAGCCCTTCTCGTCCGCTTGCACGAATCACCTTGTGCATGTCAGGCTGCACTCCACCACATCTCGTTCAGCCCTCCCACAGTCCACCAAGGAAGCAACAGCCATCTCGCGTTCCCTCCCTCCCTCCCTCCCTCCCTCTCCCCCCACTTCACCTTTCGTCCACTTCCTGCTTGTTTCAGTCCGTTGGAGTTCTGAAGGGAAAGGAGACCCCAAATCAGTTCAGGTTTGCATTAAGGTGCGGCCGAGGGAAGAAAAGGACGAGGACAGTCTCACCGGAGATTCTTTGGGCTGCAACCAAACAGTGTGGTTCACTTCAGAGTTCGCTACACAACTTCATCAGTATTTCATCATTAGAAAACTCGCGAGGAACCAGAGATCTCTCTTTCTGCCTTGGCCGCAAGATCAAGAGCTATCTCAGCTGTTGACATCTGCAACATCAACATCAGGAGGTCTAGTCCCTATCACCATCCACCACCCGACAGCTATCCAGCCACTCCCTGTGTCGTACCTGATGCTGCGATTCGATGGCCGACAGGCTCTCTTTCAAACCTTCTCGGTGTGATTCAATCGCACTTGCCTCCCCCTGAGCTGCAGGCGTCAAGAGGCAACAATCACACTCAAGTTTCACCGTCCGCTTGGTGAGAGAGCGGTTGAGCAAAGCTTCAACCTCCGCCATCTCCTCTAATCCACAAACATCATTTCATTCTCGCCCATTCTCCCCCTGCTTCTTTCATCCCCCGCACCTGCTCCCCTCCCTCCCCCCCCCCTCCCCTCCCCTGGTCGGAGCTTCACCTGTGAGCGCGGCGATCTTCTTATCGAGTGACCTCTGCTGGGCAGCCGCCGCTCGTCTTTCTATTCTCCTCATCCTCTCCGTCGCATCCTCCCTCACCGGTTCTGCTAGGCCTCCACAAGTCAGCCGAGTCCCCTGCCCTCGATCTCCCTGCCTCACCTCCAATTGTTCGTCGTGACACGACAGAGTTTACACCACTTGCTTCTTTCGCCACCAGGACAGCTGCTTCCTCCAAGCCTTCTCCCGGCTTGCCTGGTTTCGCTTGCGAGTTGGACGAGGAGGAGAGTCCGAGCGACGCCCACATCCTGATCAACGTGTTATTCCCTGCCCGATAAAACTCGCAGCTAGCAAGCCGCCGATTGTTTGATTTGGTGACCAAAAGCAAACAGGAAAATCTGCCTGTCCTTGATTTGCCTCAACAAATGTAAGCTAATGCACTCTAGCCCATTCAAACATTTGCTTGCAGCAGCTCTCAATACACAGATTCTTGTGCTATGCACAGAAATGATATCAAGTTCACCTCTCTTTCATCCACTAACCTGAATTTTAGTGTACTACTGCTCCTATCGCTACTCCTGTCGCACCTACTGCTCCTACCGCTGCTCCTGCCGCACCTACTGCTCCTACCGCTGCTCCTACTGCTCCCGGGCTGTTCTAGCTTCGCGCTCTGATCAATTTTGCTGTGCCTGCGTGGACCTGACCGTTGTTTATGACCGTTACAAATGACCGTTATGACGAAGATGACGCCGGTTGGACAGCCGCGGCAAACGTTGAACGGCGGTCACGGTGATCGGACAGTGACTGGCACCCGCCGGGTGACCGTCCCAGCGGCCGGGGCCGGGCCGCGGCGGCGCCCGGCCGGGCGGTGCCAGGAAGCGGCTCGGAACCGGCCCGGCCCCGGCCCACTATCATTGGGCGGCCGGCTGAACCGGATCAGACACAACTAGCGTCGGATCATCGGATGGAAACGGTGACGGTGAACACGTTTAGTACAGTCAAGTCATTAGATATCCTCAGCGGACTTCAGAACTGTGCCAGATTGTTGAGAGTTCAATTCGACACTCTGCATGAATGTCACCAACCAAGATATGGAAAGGAGAGGCGATTCCGACCGGGAATTTGTATCTCATGCAGCAAACTGAACTTCCCGTTGTCAATCTAGCAAGAACAGACCCTGCTGTTGCCTCCATCTACCAACAAACATGAATTTGAGACGATATTCGACATATCTTTCGTTATCTACCTGCATCTGAACTGGAGCCATACTTAGAGGCATCTCTTGAAATCCGAGCCTGCTGTAAAACTGTGGAGTTGGGTCAACTCAAGCACACAAGACAAGAACACATTAGCGAGGACCTTGGTGGTAGATTGCAGAGTTAGCAATAGAATATCAGGGGGTCTCTTTTCCGCATTGTCGCCCTCGTGCTTCTTCTTGTGCCGCTGAACAGTGTCAAGAGTCACGAGTTGGCGCAATTGACAAGTGGGTGGTAAGGCAAGTATGGATCAATGTCAGACTCACAGCCAACAATTCTTCAACAAGAGCCGTGCCGATTCCCTAAATCTAGTTCAGTGCGAACACAACTGAGGCGTCTCAGGCTGGAAACACCTGTCCTCGCATGTCTTCACGGACAACCAGGGATGCTAGTTCAAAGCTCTTTCCGAGACTACGAATCTGCCCAATCCCAACGATCTCATCATCCTGGAAATGGAGTCAGCGACTACCCTGCAGGACCGAGCCAGTGTCAAATCGCTTACTGCTTCAGCGATGAGAAAGTCAGCAGGATTCAAAAATAGGAAATTCATGTTCTCCTTGGTGACCATCTGCAGACAAAACGTGAATCGCATTGTGAACGAAGGCAAAAATCTTTAGAAAATGAATTCAACTGAAGGTTCTGCATGTCAAGGAAGAGGACCGGCCATTACCTCTCTGATCGTGTCAAGATCCTTGTCCGTTGCTGCCCTGATACCCTCCTCTGCTCTAGTTTGTAGAGCACCATTCGACAACCTGGCTCTTGTGCAACGAGGGACTTGAAGAAGAAGTTTATGGGCTTGGTACTTATTCACATGGTGGAAGCATTGGCTACTTGAGAATCTGTTCCACGAGGGTCCCAGTGAGGTAGCGTACAAGAACGACAAGTGGGGTAGAGAAACAATACAGGAATCAAAGGTTTAAGTTCCTTTACCTTGACAACGTTGGAGCGAAGGCAGCAACATTGGAAGACAGAAGTGCGAAGAAGAATAGGATGTAGATGCAAGGGAGTGTGCCACTGCAAATAGGACGGGGGAATGCTGCCATGCCGACTACAATCTACTGCACTGGCATGGACCTGCTCTGGGCGGCGGTATTCGACAAGGGGGTGGTTTGTGACTAAGGTAGGTAGTGTTGACCTGAGATAGGCTTATAGGGGGTAGCCATGACCATAACCCCATTTTTATTTGTTGAAATAAGGGGTGTTTTCTCTTGAAAATACCAAAACTACGTTTCTGCAAGGGTTGTCAGTACCTTGGGTGGGTACTTGTCTCTAAGATGAAAATATGGGTGGGTAGACTTTGGGGAGATAGTACGATGGTTGGTTCTTCTGTCTTAAGATGAGACATAGGGAATGTGAGGTCCTTAGGGGCTTGTCTTGCCTGCGCTTTTGCGACGTTGGGGTGGTCGAGAAGTGACTCATTTGTCCTAACGAGGGTGGGTGGAAGGAGTACCCTGTAAATTTCCCAATTATTTCTGTTGTAATAGGGGGTACATCTCCAACCTTGTGAGCTAGTTAGGGGTCCCATATACGGTGAGGTAGTATACAAATACCGTAGTAGCGCGGCGCCGGCTGCCGGCCCGGCCCGCTGCCGCACAGGCGAACTTCGGAGTTTCGGCCCCCAACCGGCGCGGCGGCGCGGCGTGGCGGTGGCACCGTCACTGTCCGATGCCATACGGTCAGTTCAACCGACTCGGTGACTCCGAGTCCGGGAGACTGCCGCAACTTGCGGCTGACTCCCGCAGCACACGTCCGGCAGAGTCAAGTCACTGAGTGCCGCGTGTGCGGCCGGGCGAGACTCGAGTCCCGGTACGGTCACCGTCGCTGCGTTGCCCGCGACCGTGCCGCGATGCCATGATCATTACCACTGAGTACCGGACCGTACGGTACGGCACGCCGCCCTCGGATCGCGCCGCCGCCGCGCCGCCCGCGACCGCGATCATTACTGTCGTGCCACCGTGCATGTCGGCGGCGCACCCGAACTTCCGACTCTTTCCGGCGTACTCGGAGGAACTTGCGGCCGCGGCTCCGACTCACTGGGCCGGGGCCGGGCTTCACGGGTTCTGAGGCGACGGTGCCCTGCCCGGGAGCTGCGACCTCAGCCTCAGTCGGACCTGACCCGGGCCCGGGCCCAGCCGCTGAGCCTCGCCCGGCCGATCGGACCCGGCGGCGGCGTCCGGGGGGGGCCGCAGCCGGGCGGCCGGGCGGCCGGGCGGCCGCAGTCCGATCACTGGCCCGGACGGTTGAACTGAGACTAGCGTACTTGGAACTTGGAGTAAGAGCGTACGATGGATGGTGCGAAGGAAGGATGGGACGATCTCAAGGCGACATGGCAGGAGGCGAGGAGGTGCCGACAGGTAGCGACGAGCATGCTAGGGGATAGCGAAGCCCTCGCTCGAGTAGACCGACGAGTTGTGCAGGACACCGTCCGAATCGCCTCCTTGAACGCGGAAGAGATGCGGCATGGGGGGGCAGCGGGGTCAGTGGCTGACTCGTCGGACCTGAGCGACTGGTACCCGACGATGGCCATGGCAACGAGGAAGCTTGTCGTTGGCTTTGACCATGATGTTTCCAGGGTGCTGATGGATTCTAGCGAGTTGGTTGGAGAGTCTGATGTGGAGAACTGGCCTGTGTGGCGGTGCAAGGTTCAGAAACCAGGTTTGTTCATGAAGTAGGGGACCAGGGGAGTAACAGGGCCAAACAGGAGCTCTAGAAATCAAGAGAAATCAGGCCAAAGTTGTTCTGCTGATCTGTGAGAGTTGATTGACCCGATGAACTGCAAGATCTTTGCTGGACCGGACAGAATCTTGATCAAGTACACTACCAACATCCTGAAGAATCAACTGAGCCTGGTTGGTCTGCATGGATCTCTTCGACCTTTGTCACGTTCGGCATGACGATTCTTGCTCACCGTCCTCAGGTTCTTCATCCGCACGAGATCCTTGGGGCCGAGCTGATTGAGGTACAACACAAGAGACAGTCTAGCGACGCTGGAAGGGATAGAGGCAAGAACGATCTGAGGAGCAACTGGGAGAGCCTCTTCTCGAAGCCCAACAAGAAGTTTGTAGTCGTCATGCACGTGCTGACCGTGCCGAGCGTCATGGACCCAGAAGCAGGTGTCAGCTCGTACCAGGAGTTCGAGATCTCCTCTTTCCGTGACGCCAACGGCACCATCCTCCCTGACAAGCAGCACCTGGAGCAAGCTTGCAAGTGTGTGCTCCTTTGCTCCTGCCCCCCCTCCCTGTCCTCATTGTCCTCCTTCCTTGTCGTCCTTCTTCTCCTTCCCTCTCCTTACCCTCCTGCTCCCTCCCTCTTGTCCTCTCCCTCTCCTCACCCTTCTGCCCTCTAGGTTGCGTGACGCCATCAAGTTGGTTGCCAGCGAAAGAGCTCCGTTGCTCCAGTACGCTCGTCCGCTTCGCGTCATCGTCAACCCGATCTCAGGTCATCGCAAGGGGCGGGAGCTGTTTGGCAGGGTGGAGCACCTGTTCAAGAAGGCGGATGTGCCGATGGAAACAACCTTCACCTCCTACGCGGGGCATGCGAGGATGATCATACTAGGAGGCGAGCACGAGGGAAAGAGGGTTCCCCCGCTCAGTCCTCGCAGCTACTGCGGCGTGCTGGTGATAGGAGGGGACGGGACGGTGTGCGAGGTCGTGAATGCGATGCTGGAGAGGGAGGACTGGGAGGAGTTGGTCGAGAGTCTCCCGGTGGGAACTATCCCCGCGGGCTCCGAGTGCGCCTTCGCCAAGATGATCAGCTTCGTGGACCCGCTGGGCGCTGCCTGGGTCCTGCTCAAGGGCCACCGGGTGGGTCCAGTGGACATGCTGAGGGTGACGCAGGGGTCTCGCATCCTCTACTGCCTCTGCGGGATAGGATGGGGTATACCGGGGAAGCTAGCGGAAGAGTCGGAAGCGCTGCGGGAGGTTTACGGACCAGCCCGGTACCTGGTGAGCGGGTTGAGAAGCTTCCTGGAGCTACGAGGATGCGAGGGGAGGCTGGAGATCCTGACGCCGAAAGAGGAGGAGGAGGAGGAGTTCTCCGAGACCTGTAGATTCGCAGGGGTGTGTAAGGCGTGTGAAGCGTCCAAGTGGAGGGACGAGGGGGGAGGGGAGGGAGGGGGGCGGGGAGGGTGGTGGGGAGGGAGGAGTCGGCGGGGCCGTTCGTGCTAGTTGGGATCTTGAAGTCCTCCAAGGTGAGCCCCTTCTGTCGAGGTTGCTCGGAACTGAGACGGGAGAGCGCAGAAGATCGCTCCTCTGGTGCACGTGGCAGACGGATTGATCGACGTGGTGGCTGTGCAGGTGAGGGGAGGGAGGGAGGGGA